TATACATACGAGTAGCAAAAGCATTTTTACATTTACAATTTTTTTTCACATCAATTGACTAATGAAACACCCACCAACCACTATTTTAGAATACTATGATAACATTTTAGCTATGAATAAATAATAAACATTTATTTCTCTCAGATACTCAAGTTACATTTATATTATACATACGAGTAGCAAAAGCATTTTTACATTTACAAATTTTTTTCACATCAATTGACTAATGAAACACCCACCAACCACAATTTTAGAATACTATGATAACATTTTAGCTATGAATAAATAATAAACATTTATTTCTCTCAGATACTCAAGTTACATTTATATTATACATACGAGTAGCCAAAGTATTTTTATATTTACAAATTTTTTTCACATCAATTGACTAATGAAACACCCACCAACCACAATTTTAGAATACTATGATAACATTTTAGCTATGAATAAATAATAAACATTTATTTCTCTCAGATACTCAAGTTACATTTATATTATACATACGAGTAGCAAAAGCATTTTTACATTTACAATTTTTTTTTCACATCAATTGACTAATGAAACACCCACCAACCACAATTTTAGAATACTATGATAACATTTTAACTATGAATAAATAATAAACATTTATTTCTCTCAGATACTCAAGTTACATTTATATTATACATACGAGTAGCAAAAGCATTTTTACATTTACAATTTTTTTTTCACATCAATTGACTAATGAAACACCCACCAACCACAATTTTAGAATACTATGATAACATTTTAGCTATGAATAAATAATAAACATTTATTTCTCTCAGATACTCAAGTTACATTTATATTATACATACGAATAGCAAAAGCATTTTTACATTTACAATTTTTTTTCACATCAATTGACTAATGAAACACCCACCAACCACAATTTTAGAATACTATGATAACATTTTAGCTATGAATAAATAATAAACATTTATTTCTCTCAGATACTCAAGTTACATTTATATTATACATACGAGTAGCAAAAGCATTTTTACATTTACAATTTTTTTTCACATCAATTGACTAATGAAACACCCACCAACCACTATTTTAGAATACTATGATAACATTTTAGCTATGAATAAATAATAAACATTTATTTCTCTCAGATACTCAAGTTACATTTATATTATACATACGAGTAGCAAAAGCATTTTTACATTTACAAATTTTTTCACATCAATTGACTAATGAAACACCCACCAACCAAAATTTTAGAATACTATGATAACATTTTAGCTATGAATAAATAATAAACATTTATTTCTCTCAGATACTCAAGTTACATTTATATTATACATACGAGTAGCCAAAGCATTTTTACATTTACAAATTTTTTTCACATCAATTGACTAATGAAATACCCACCAACTACAATTTTAGAATACTATGATAACATTGTAGCTACGAATAAATAATAAACATTTATTTCTCTCAGATACTCAAGTTACATTTATATTATACATACGAGTAGCCAAAGCATTTTTAGTAATTGTTGAAGACAGAATTATAAACCAGTTTAACTTGCGCTATGGGCTTCTTAGCTCCCCTTATTGGTTTTTGGCTTTACTATAATTCGAAATATTAAGTGAAGACATTAAGTAACATTAAGTGAGCGTTGTAGTTGAAGAGCGAATATAATAAAATAGCTTTAAAAGGAAGGTTATAATTTCATATTGTAAGACAAACACTTTAAATTGTGTTTAAATATGAACTAGCCATCACTTCAATTCCTTGTCATTCAAGTTTTGGCCCACAAACACTAAACGAACCAATTTATTTAATTCACAATTGTACTCTGCTTAGAGTTTGATGACTGTGTTTGAGGAATATGAGCGTAAATATTTACCCTAGTGACAAATATACGACATCTATTTGCTTGGAGAAATATCTAAAGCCTAGTAATTTTAGATTTGTTGAGTGAAAATGCTCAATATAATTGACTGTATATTTTATTACCAAAAGTAGAATATCGCTATTTATCAAATCATGAGAGTAATGAAAAATTAATCACCGCGACTTATGTAGGTAAGCTCATACTAGGATATAATATATAAAAACGTAATATAGAAGTGTTTATTTATTTATTAATTTAACAAGTACACTTACAATACTAATATATGACTGCACTATCAAAAAAACATACACATTTTTATACTTTAAATACAAATACTTTTACGGATTTTATCGCATTAGATTTACTTAATTTTAATTCCCGAGGTTTGGGATGCTCTGCAGCACCTATGGTCACGAGGAACTAAGGTGATTGATGTCCCGATGTCAGAGTTAGCCCGGAGTACCTTTAGCTTTTTGATTATTAGTTTTGGTCCGATCTACGCAGACTGAACTTGCTGTGTCTTGAGGTCTTGCAGTGGTATGCTTGGGTATAGTTTTAAATTTATTAATTACAGGATACCATGTAGGAGACTGGGTACAACTTACCCAGCCTCGTTCTCTATTGAAAATAAGATTTTTTTTATTTCATTAGAAAGCGAGCGAAAGGACATCGATCCTCGGCAGGAATCGATGTTCTTTCGTGAGGATTTATGCTCTATCAAATCCAATGTTAATGGCCGTTTAGGATATAATCACAAACTGCAGACTAGAGCGTTGATGTTTCACGTCAGTGTAATATTCCTCTATAAGATCGAATGCTGTGTAATTTGAGTGACGCAAAAATCGTGTCAAATCCATGCTCAACTTATTGCAAGCAATACGAAGTATGTACTAAGTACACATAATATGTATCTAAAATACATACATATTATGTATCTAAAATTATTTGCAACCAACAACTTGGTTTTAGATGTTTATATATGCGTACAGCAGTGAATTTTTACGAGATGTGTGCGTGAATGTTTTCAAAATGTTGGGCATGGTTTTTGCGCCACCAAATGTACTCAGCGCTCCGTTTTTTGGTCTGAGTTTAAATAAGTAAAAGGAAGAATCTATTTTTATTTTAATATTTATAAAAGAAAAACATACTTTTTGCTTTATTGCATTCTATCAAAGTCACGTCAACAACGTCGCCTTGACATAATATGAGCCACGAAAATTAGGTGAAAAATTATTAAAATATATATACATACTATGCGCCCTGATTTCGTTTACAAGAAATATTCTCAATACTTTAAAAATGTGAAGAGGATTGCCTGGTAACGCAATTTTATTTATTTATTCATTCATTACACAATTATAACATCATTACAGTTATTAAACCAATGCGATGCTATAACTAACCTAAATATAAGAAAACTAGTGACTAATAAATAATAATATATAGTATGAAATCTATCAAATTGATGGTAAAATAATATACTAATTAAAACATTACAATTTTCAACGCATTTGTATGCTGCAATTTTGAATTTCGTCTCACTACATACAAATATGTCAATACCCTGTGAGATGATATTAACATAGTGTATTATAGCACGTGACAATGGTGCATTCTGAAGCAACTTCGTCCTAGCAGCGGGCACGAGGAGTAATGTGGGGATGACGACGAGTACACACGTAATTATTAGGTACCCGCAGCTTTAACGCATCGAGCACATTTTTTTTTGTGCTATTGGGGTCGATATATGGTTTAAAATTGAATTACAGATTTATAATAATTTTTCTTTTATATTGAGTTAATAAATTTTCAAATGCCGTTAATGTTACTTAAGTAATAATGTCTTACATTCTAATCATAATAAGTGACTTTGCATTCTGGCACATAATTATTCCAGTATAAAAGAGATTGGGTTACGACAAAGTTTTACACAGTACTGACTTTACATATTATATAATATGAAACTGTTAATTATTTTAGTAATTGTGGATGGTTAAAGATAGAAACCATATTTTATTTGCCTTTTAACAATAGTTCTCACAGAATACCGGCGTAAAATAGCAGCTCAATGTTTGGTTCTCTACGCTCACCATACGAAACACTGCTGTGAACCGGAGACACGTTTTACTAGAATCGAGGCATTCCATCTTAGTCCTCAGGGGTGACAACGGATCTGCATTTTGATTCTTAATCGAGGTTAAATGTAGATGTCTATGGGCCACAGCATCCATTTACCTTCAGGTGGACTGTGTGCTCGTTTGTCACCTTATTCTATAAAAAAAAGTTATGACAACAATAGTTTTGCAGGCGCAGTGAATAAAAATGTCGAGTAAGATGAGGAATCAATTAGTTGAGTGGTTAGGGGAATAGCAATTCATTGTTATATTTTTAATAAAATTCATGAATATTGTAACCTAAGCACATTTACCTCAAGTTTTATAAATACGTCGTTCAAATCGCTAGGTTTATTCGCAATATCCTTAGTTTTATTAAGAAGAATTGATATTTTGTATATATTTTATCATCATCATCATTACAGTCCATCACAAGTCCCCTACTGAAATAATAGGCCTTCACCAAGGAATGCCATATAAAGCAAGGTCTTGAAACACATACATCTCTTACCAGGTCGTTACTCCATCTAGTGGAGAGCCATCCTACACTTCGTTTGCCGTTACTTGGTTTCTGTTGGTAACTGGGTGAATTTAGCACAAACTCTTTTCTCGCTACAGTGCCCAACCTTTTTTCTCTTATTCAGAGATTAGTCATAGAAGACTTTTTATAATTATATAAAATCCCTATACAAATGTACAAGAACAATATATTTTGGCCTCTCGATATTCTCTAAATTTATTAATTTTCTATTTTTTCTGGTAGTAATAAAATATTATATTTTATGATTATCTAAAATCCTTATACAAATGTACAAGTGCAGTATATTTTGGCCTTTCCGCCATATACTACACTCTCTAAATCTACGTGCATATTTTTACTATTATTTATTTCACAGGTATATTTATTATAGCGTCTAGTGTAAGAAGTATTAATCGAAATGTCTTCAAACCGACGAGCTTTTGAATGTTATATGGATGATATAGTTAGTAATTTCGAAGAATTTTTGAATAAATCGCTAATAATGATGTTCGTAGCAGTTGTAATTCTATTCGCTTCGGTTTTGTATTTGCTGAGAGGTGTCAATCAATGCCAGCGATCATGTCCAGCCGTAATAGGTAAGATTATTTTAAATGCATCCAAAAAACTAAAAGAAATATTGTCTAACGACAGAAAGAAACCGAAATAAGAGATGAGCAGCAACATCTTCTTGATTACAACATATACTGAAAAAAGTGTTGTTATCAACCTTCCTGCCAAGCATTCCAACTATGATGACAAATATGCCCTCCATGAGGCAATCTAAACGTGTAGTGGCTGTGTAAGAATATCCACTACCCCATATACCCCCTTGGGTGCCGTAAGAGGCGACGAAGAAAACTGAAACGTGAGATGGGCATCAGTAAAAAATACACTGTGGTTGCCAAACCGCGCGCCAAGCGTGGCAAATCTTTGGTTGAGGCTATTAAAAGTCCACAGTGTCCACAGATTTTTAATGCTATAATAGATAGATGTAATGAGGGAAATTTATGTAGAAAGGATATGATGATTGTGATATTTATACCAAACTTTGAAAAAGGAGAAGATATCGCATACAAAAAAAAATAGATTGATAGATAGAATTAGTAATATTGAAAGAATTAATAATTCGACTGTATCTTGTTTTGTACGTGATATCTTCGTCAATTGTAAACATATTGTGATGATTTTTTTATTAAATAGCTTATATACTTCTGGTTCTATATAAATTTGGAGAGAAAAATCCTCCCATTTTTCATCAACTTCATTCATAGGGTTTTTTTTAATATAGGATAAGGGTGACAAACGAGCACACGGTATCTGATGTTAAGTAGTTGCTGAGGCCCATAGACATCAACATCTATCCTCGACAACGAATCAAAATGCAGATGCATTGTTACCCATGATAACTAAGACGGAATGCCTCATTTCCAGTAAAAAACGTCTCCGGTTCTTTACACTAACCATACGAAACACAGCAGTGTTGAGCTGCTATTTTACGTGGGAATTCTGTGGGAGCGTGGTTTTTCCACGGTCGAACCGACCCATTCGTGCTACAAGTATACTACTAAAATAGCTGCAGCAAGGCTCTATCACGTAGTTTTTTTAATGTAACTATTTAGACGACACTGATATTTTCTTTTTCCACTTAAATGGGTATTTTTTTTTAATAAATGTCAAATTGACACCTAAAAAGAATAAAATCATTTTACATTCTGAAGTCGAGGGTTTATTTCGTTATATTTATTTTATATTCAATATGTCGTATCACCGATTTTATAATCTGTCTCACAGATAGGAGTATTTATAATTTAACCGTGCTTGTTTGGCGGATTGAAATATAGGCAAACGGTGAAAAAAATTCAAACATTCTCTCCTTTTATCTTTTAAATTCAAAATGCGTTCTAATGCATTATTTTAACCGATTTTACTGCGCACGCACACTTTCGTAAGGGTCGATCGGTAGGCAAAAACCTTGTTGCCCATAAATCACATTCAATTTGGGATAATATCAAATAAAAGTAGAAGCCTTATTTATTCGTATTTTCAAAAACTGCAATAACTGTATATCATTATTGATATGAATTTAAGTTTAAAATTTGACTACTCTTTGTAAAATAACCCTATATAAACTATAACTTTTTTATTGTGCTATATGATCTGTTGCATTTCTGACTTCATATATAAATGTACTAACTATAAAAACGCAAGAGGAAACAAAAGAGTGGAGTTAAGGTTCAACAACGGCATTATATTTAAAAAAATATAGCAGCAAATAAAATCGAGCAGGTCGACGGGGGAAATTTAAGAAAATTACCTGAGAATGAGTGGAATATATATATATATATATATATATTATATATATATATATATATATATATATATATATATATAATTACCTACTGTATATTATAATTACGACGTCATAAACCTTAACAAAGTTATATTTGCAGGAACAACCAGTAATTCAAGTGTCAGTGCAGTTTTACAGAATAATGACGAAATTAAGTCTACGTCTAAAATTCATGAAAAGATATCTACAGTGTTTAAGAAATCAAAGACAACTAAACCAAAAAATAAGCCAAGTTTTACGGTTCAACATTTAGAAGAGGGTCAAAAAACTTCGACACATAACATATCTACGACACTGAGCGTACCCAGTTGCGATGAACAAGTTCTAAGGGAAATAGGTTTATCGTCGTGTTCTAAAGAAAGTAATGAAGTTATGGTATTTTGTAAATGTTAAAAGTTTAATCTTTATTACGTTTTTTTATATAGGATAGTGTGACAAACGAGCACACAGGTTACCTGATGGTAAGTGGTTGCTGTGGTCCATAGACATCTACATTTATCTTCGATTACGAATCAAAATGCAGATGCGTTGTCAGACAGATGTCACCCGTGAGGACTAAGATGGAATGTCTCATTTCCAGTAAAAAGGGTCCTCGGTTCTCTACACTCACCATACGAAACTCAGCAGCATGAAAATACTATTTCACGATGGTATTCTGTAGGAGCGTGGTCCTTCCCCGGTCGAGCCGACCCATTCGTGTTACAACTATACTACTAATATAACTGCAGCATGGCTCTACCACGTGCAATGATAATTGAAACAAGACGTAAACTTTTAATATTAATCGTGTATTTGAATATTCCGGATTTTAATCCAACTTTGTTGAAATCCGCGTATTAGGTCTCGCGTATGTCCGCGTGATCTAATATCTCGAGCGATTTGGAATTTGAATACTACGCCACGTGACCTTGTTTCGAAACCCAGTCGGCGTCAAAATCTGTACAAAACTCAACTTACTGGTTTTGGGTCTATTTGTGTTTGTCCCGTGTCTCGGATACATATATTCTTTTATAACCCTTCGCCTCGTGGGAGTAATTAATAAAAAGCCCACAGAGCCTAGAAAACACCTTCATTGCTCTATGCAAATGTCTGACTCGCATCGACTAAAAACCTATAGTGCTCCATACCTTCCTTGGTCCATTAACCCGTATCCGAAGTGGACTTGTGGATAACCAAGCTACTAAATTATTCTGGTTGCAATCTCATGACACATTCTCGGCAATGACGAATTATTTACCTTAAGCGCTTTATTGTTAAACAATTGCAATTAGTTGCAGATTCCGAAATGGAATAAATAAAAAATCACTATTTTCTAATAAAAAAAAACATTGAGCTATTATGTACTATGTACAGTGCATTATACTTCTATGTATTAAAACAGCACTGATTAAGCATTTGTAATAAAATATTTTTTCGTTTTCAGACGTAATACGAACAGCCAGTAAGAACATAATTGTCGGAAGGTTTAAGTAAAAATTTAAAAATTATGTTTATAACTAAAACAAGTAAAATATTTTGATATTAAAATGCATTTTATGGAAATCTTGGCGTGTTTTGTTTGTTATTTGTGAATTACAGTCAGTGTCACGAATTGTAAAAGGAAAGTGCGCATAGCATGACACAAAATATTCGTTAGTCTTTTTAATTGTTATTTAAACTTATATTATTCCTGTTTAGTATAAATTTTGATGTAATCGGTTTGTAAAAAATATGTTTATAGGCCATACTTCTTAATAAAATTATTACAAAATACATTTTCCTGAGTTTTTGAGACAAAAAAATATCTATCTTGTGTTTATAAGTTTTTATTTTATAAATCAGTGAAAATACACATAAATAGAGCCTAACCTCGTGTAATTCTTAGCACCTCTCATTTCTGTGAGGATTGTGGCGAAGTGACGCACAGTGGCGTGGCAGTGGTTTTCTTTAACGGCGTATTCCACAAATCCTTAAAATAGTTTATTCCTCAGATGGCATATCTACATTGTATACATTCCTCACGATATTTTTCTTCACCGTCGAGAATGTGATAAATCAACACTTATAATTATTTTTAACAATTCCCTTATAAATTCCATTATCTAATATTATGATAATATTTTTTGATTACGTTAGGAAAATTCGTGTTTCTCAGGAGGCATAATTTATTCCGACATGTGCCTCCCAGAATAAAAGATTTGTTTCCGACTTTGAATGAATTACGTAAAATAAAGTTACACAAAAATAATGTATCATTTGATTGATGTTTTCAAGGAATTCTCTAGAACAGGCTGCCACTCTATTATACCTATTTATTAAGATTAACTCGCAGTAGCAAAAAATGAAAGATATTTAGTTTAAAAAATTTAGTTTAAGAATTCATTATATTACATTCATTTGTGTAAGAAAGTACGAATCCATTTAAAATCAACTATAATCATAGTTTATACAAAATTATTTTATTTAATAATTATAAAATGTAATCAGACGCGACTGTATGATGCATTTCCTCCCCCTCACACGTAACTGTCCTTACTAACAAGTCAATGTAAATGTCTATGGGGCACAGCACCCACTTACCAATAGGTGGACTGTTCGTTTGTCAGCCTTATTCTATAAAAAAGTCAATAGTACACAGCGTGACATTAATTTATTGTAGTAGCATTTGGCTTAATCGCAAGATATTTTGTCTTGACTGATCGTGATGACGGTAATCTTTTTGAGCCTACACTGCTATAAAACTCTGACTTGTCGTTTAGTTTTTACAAGTGTAGGTTTTTCCTGCGCATCATCTGTCCCGATTTCTATCTGCAATTCTGTTTTTTTTTTATAGAAGAGCGCGCACCCGAGCATGCGGCTCACCTGATGGAAAGTGACTACCACCGCCCATGAATAACCGCAACACCAGGGGAATTTTAGGTGCATTGCCAGCCTTTTAGAAAGGAGTAAGCTCTTTTCTTGGAAGTCCCTAAGTCGTATCAATTCCAATAATCTCCTGTGGTAAGCGTTGCCATAGAATTTCAACCAAAATTCAACAATGTCTCGACTTCAGATACAAGTTTGTGCCGGTATTCGGTGAAGTTTTTTCGATAAATATTGGCACGGAGAGTGTATAAAGCATCACCAGTGCTGTCGTCTGCATAGCAATGAATGTTACCAATTTGCAACATATCATTGGTATGCAGAAGAAACAGTGTTGGTGATTGCTCGCAGCGTTGATTGGCTTTCAATCGGAGCATACACCATCTACTACTATCTTGATGCTCCGATCAGACAGAAAAATGGTGATCCAATTGCACAATTTCTCGCAAAGCCTATAGGAAGGAAGCTTCGAGAGGAGCGCTTTGTGCCAAACGCAATCGAAGGCTTTCGTTATATCTAAAGTAACCGCCAAAGCCTCCCCCCTTGGACTCGATGGCCTGCGCTCGTCTCGTGTGTTAGATAAGCAAGAAGATCACCAGCTGTCACTAATCAGCTAGTGCTCCTAAAGGTACCGCATGAGCTGACTGTGAATAATAGGCTCCATTATTCTGGAGAACAAGGAGGTGATGGCGATAGGCCTGTAGTGGGGGAGGGTATTTGGGACCGGGTGCACAAAAGCTGTTTTCCGAATTCGGGACTACGTCTAGGGATTAGGAGTACCAGAAAAGACGCACTAGAACTGGTGCCACCTCTGGAGCACACGTCCTCAGCACAATTGGGCGGATTCCGTCCGGCCCATTCGACATATGGATGTCGATGGAGATGATGCTTTACGTACTGAGCACTCTGTGAATCACACATCAGGCATAGAGCACTTACACCACCGAATATTCGGTACTGTGTTGCCCTCGTTATCGAGAGCCGAGTTGGATACAAAAAGAGAGCCTTAAAGATCGGCTTTCTCTTTTGCGGTGTGGGTCAGTAAATCATCCACCCTGTGCAGAGATGGTTGTGATGGCTTACAGAAATTCCCTTGGACAGCCTTGACGAGAGACCAGAATGCACGGGTTACCGATGGAAGGTGAACTAATTTCTCGCCAAATATGCTAATGTGCATACTTTGCCTTGGCAATAGCTCTTTGAAGGACTTGGAGGCTGAGCGGCCACTTCAAAAAACAATTCGAAAAATCTACTTTAGAAAACTAACTACACTACACCATGCTAAAATCGAATAAAATATTTAATATAATATCAACTGTCAAAATGGCGTGGATAAAGCATCGCCCTTTTCATCCTTTATTAATTGATTGACCGATGAAGAGCTATCTTATCAGAAAGCCATATATTCAAACTAGACTGTAGTTTTTTAGTTACATGAAAGTGACCATATTAATCGGATGACCATATTAATCGGATGACCATATTAATCGGATGACCATATTACGCTCACGTACTATATTTCAACTTAAGTTTAAAATTTGGCTACTCTTTAAAAATAGCCCTGAATAGGATCGAAGATGTCCAAAGGTCATATTTCAAAGTTGTACCCTGATATTATGTTAAAAATAGGTACGCTGATATTTTTTTCTGAATTTACGACAGAATTTTAAATTAATAATTTAAAGATAAGGTTATTTATCACTACGCTTCCCATGTCATCCGCTCATACACAAACTTTTATGTATAAGTCGCACTAAATGCTTCCCGTGTCCCCCCAAAGCCAGGACTGGCCAGGGCAGTTTTATATAAAGCTACAAGTTTTTTCCTTTTGTTGAAAAACTAAGTTGTAACTGCCTTTTAATTATTAAGTAAGATTTCATTTGCAAGTGATGCACCTTTTTTATTAATAAACGAGACCCTGGTTATCAACAATATTCATTCGAAAATGCCCAACCCATATACATATTTACACCTGGTAGAGCCACGCTGCAGCTGTATTAATATGGAACGAACACGAATGGGTCGACTCGGCCGAGGAAGGACACGCTCTCACAGAATACTAGCGTAAAATAATTCAGCTTTATACTGCTGTGTTTCGTATGGTGAGTGTATAGAACCGGAGATCCTTTTTACTCGAAACGAGGCATTCCGTCTGACAACGCATCTACATTTTGATACTTAATGGTGGATAAATGTAGATGTTTATGGGCCACCGCATCCACTTACCATCAGGTGGACTGTATGCTTGTTTGTTACCCTATTCTATAAAAAATAATCCATCAGAGTGGTAATGAGAAAGAGTAAATCAAAACCAGTAGCAACAGAGTATGGGCAAATCCTCCATGTCATGCATGCTAGCTGGCACATATAGAAAGGTCAATGATACACAGGAAACTGAAAGGCTGTATAATGTTTGTGATGATGTGTTAATCATGATAATAATATTGAAATTATAGTACCTAAAAAAGCTTTAAAGAAACCACAATGTTCAAGAATGCCTAGACACTTCACCTTGGACAAATTGTGTGATAAGTCCTCCAAGGCACTAACATATATTTGATTTTAATGACTAATAGGGATACACAAGCGTTTATTTATTATCTTATAAACTTGCATTACTATCGGCGGTTGGTAGGTATGTTATATTTTTAAACTACTTAACTATCTCGCAAAAATTAAAATTCGCAACGAAATAAATCTTTCCACATTTTTTTTTCTAAGCTTTCTAGACCTTGCGTTTTAAAACGTAGTGATTATAATATACAAAGAGTATGTAATCACTATGGTTTATATACTCTTTCAGTTTCCTACTTTGACAATTCAACATACATCATCCCGTTTTGTCACTAGTATACTTTTATGTTTTTATCTAAAGAAATGTAAATAAAGCAAAATTATAAAATAAAATGTAAAAATGCCGAGGCGACGTTGCTGTAATTCGTACATAGGTAATAAGGTATTTTTATTGATAGACAGCATTTTATTTATAAGTTTTCTATTTCAGTTTAGATTATGTTTGCTATAATCTAAATGGGTCTCTCACACCAGGATGATGAGGGTAGGTGGATTACACAACGTAGTACCAGACATCTGGCACCTTTAATGCAACTCCCCGTCCCCGGCTTTTCATCCGGTCATATGATAGTTACTCCGTATGTCGGAGATAATGTGTATAATATTTCTATAAAGTTGTCCGAAACCAAACGACAAGAATATATTATGGGGAGTTAACGCTGCACAATAAAGTCGGTCGGGTCTTTTGTTTAACATACATTGAACAAAGAATAATATAATTGATATACTATAGACCCTAATTAACATTGCACGCTTTTGAAGGGACAATAGGAGTTGAATCCCAGTGACCTCTGCAAAAAGGGACATACACAATATTTGTGCTAGAATAAGTTAACGAACAGTACGTGAATTTCTTAATGAAGGAATATAATCGATGTGAAATGCTCGTAATCCAAAAGAAACTACGGAAACGTTGCAAAATACTTGTGTTTAAAATAATGTCTGGGCATCTGCCTGTATAATAGTATTAGTGGATTGTGGTCAAAATTTTTAAAGCTGAACCAAAATTAAGCAACAACCGAAGCCTAAAATCACGCTATTAAAGTTTCTAAACGACT